TAATCAAAACACTTTGAATGCCGTTGGGCAACTCTTTTCTGACAACTTTCTGCAGTATTTTTATGCTAAAATTTATGAATATCTATTTTTCATTGGCTTAATAAGTTATTGGGAACATTTTAATTGTTGTTAAGGCGTTTGCTGCTTAAAATTTTGCGCAAATTGAGCGCTGCGCAACACCGGCCGGCGGCCGTTTGGCAACACTGTTACTGTTGTTGCCGCTGTGTGCAACCCTGTGTGCCGCACACGAATGCGAGTGGGAAAGCGTGTGGTCGAAAATCAAGAACAGCAACAAAAACGTAAGATAGAAAACTGCTCTCTTTGTATGAGTGTAGCAGCAGCAGCAGCAGCAGCAGCGGTAAAACCAAAAAAAAAAAAAAAAAAAAAACGAAAAGAAAAGAAAAAACTGCTCGCGGGGGAGCAAAGCAAATTGACAGCAGTAGCAGGCAGCAGGAAAGCAGCGCAGCCGCTAATCTTTGCCGTCGGTCGCGTCGCAAAAACAGAAAACGGACAAAAAAAATTCCATACCCAAAAATAACCAAAAATTTTCAAGTTTGACGTTTTTATGGTGTGTGAAAAACGACACGGGAACAGGGCGAAAAGGAATAGGCCACAAAACTAAAAGCAAAGCTAAAGAACAAGGCGCAAGCAGAAGAAGCAGCAGCAACAGAAATTGTAGCAGCATTGAGCGAAAAGCGTGCAAAGGCAAAAGAAGAAGAAGAAAGAAAAAAAAGGTCAAAATGTGTGTGTGTGTGTGTGAGCTAGAAGAAGAATCATGGAATCAATGAAAATGGAGCAAATGTGAAAAACTTGTGGAAAAGCTAAAATTAATTTTTTTGTTTTTGTTCACGCGCGCGTATTTGCCATTGTGTGCGTGCGTACGTGCGTATGTGTGTGCCAGAGCGAGTGAGAGCGACAAAGAGTGCGGGTGCGAGCGCGAGCGCGAGAGCGAGAAGGCAGCAGGCAGGCAGCAGGAAGAGGAGCAAATGATTTTTGTAAAACGCATTTACTAATTAAATACAAATACAAAATGTGAACGTGCACACACACACATACACATGTATATATATGTATATAATAAGATATTATATATCTATGTGTGTATTTTTAATGCTCGCGCACAAATTAGAAGCGACGACGAAACAGCTACAAAAGCACTTGATGAACAACAATTCAAAAAGGAAATCAATAATAATAACAATAACAATAAACGCTCTTAAGTGTCCAACTCGACCAACTTCTCCTCTTCTTCTTCTTCTTCTTATAGTTGCTGTTGTTGTGTTGGTTTGTGTGCACCGTGTTTTAAGCGTAGCAGCAACAACAAATTATTGAAAGCATAACAAAAGAGAACTAAAAATAATAATCAAATAAATACAAAAAATCAAGAAAATAACGAACAAAATAATTTCGGCCGCAGCGGCAGCTAAATAGAAGAAGAAGCAACAAAAAAAAATGTGGAAAGCCAGCGAATGCGCCGCAGCAGCAGCAGCGCCACACAGCGTCGCATTCGCAGTCGCCGTCGCAGTCGACGTCGCAGCAGCCGCCGCCAACGCGTGGAAAGCAGCAAAAAGCAACGCATGACCGAACGACGCGACGTTAAAAAGCAAGCGAAACAATTGCTTCAAACTGAAGAGTGCAACAAAAACAACAGCAACAACAACAACAACAGTAAAATAATAATCATAACAAAAGCAACCACAACAACAACAACAACAACAAAGGCCTAGAATAGCCGTAGAAGTAGAAAAGCAAAAAGCAAAATAAGAAGAAGAAGCAGCAGCAAAAGTAGCGGCAGTTTAACGTGCAATAACTACGAATAAAGAACGCTAAACGCACACGAAAAACGAAATACAACAAAAGCAGAGAGCGAGCGCGTGCGAGTGTGTGAGAGCGAGAGAGAGAGAGAGAGAGAGCGTCGCCTGAAAATATATATTAAAATATAAAGAAGAAAAACAGACAAAACAAAACAACAGAAGCCGAGCTTTCAGTGTTGTTGTTGTTGTGTTGCGTTGCGTTGCCATGGCCAGCATCAGCAGCAACAACAGCAGCAGCAGCAGCAGCGCAACAAATGCAGCCAGCAGCAACGCAACAGCGCTGCCCTCACTATTTGCCGGCAGCAATAGCAACAGCAGCAGCAGCGCCGTCGTCGCTGCCAACGTCGCTGCCGCCGCCGCCGCCGCCAAAGATATGGACGGACTGATTGCCATCAATGATAGCGCATTATCGCAACAAATCGAATTTATACTACAAGATGCTCCCATGGAGCAGGATGACGAGCAACAGCTGCAGCTCAATATGGCAGCGGCAGCGGCAGCGACGGCGGCAGCAGCAGCGGCGGCGGCGGCGCCGTCGTCGTCGAAGCTCGACAACCACCCACCGACAACAAATGCAACAATAACGACAACAACAACAAACAGCGCTTCCGCCTACATCAACCATAACAACAACAACAACAACAACAACAACAACAACAATATAAATAGCCACAACAACAACAGCCTGAGTGTTGAGGAACATCAGCAACTGTTGCTGCAACAACATCGCGCCCAACAACAACAACAGCAGCAGCAGCAACAACAACAACAGCAGCAACATCATCTGCTGAATGGGCGACGCATCATTATTCAATCAACGGGCAGCGGCGCCAACTCTGTCCTGGCGGCCAGCGACATCAAGGAGGAGCAACAGGAGCTGGAGGACGAGCCGGACGAGGAGGAGGAGGAGGAAGATCCGGAGCTAAACGATGAGAATCTGCAGGACATCGAAGAGGAGGCGCAGGCAGCCGAAGCTGATGAGGAGCCCGAAACGGCGACACATTTGCAACATCATCATCATCAGCAACAGCAGCAGCAGCAACAGCAACAACATCATCATCAACAACAACATCATCATCATCACCAACAGCAACAACAACAACAACATCTGCAACAACAGCAGCAGCAGCAGCAACAACATCTGCAGACGCAGGTCAAACTGGAGCTGGACGATATGCCCGATGATGAGGAGGAGGAGGAGGAGGACGAGGATGAGCATATGCAGCAGCCGGCTCAGCAGCAGCAACAGCAGCAGCAGCAACAACTTGAGGTATATAACTAAGGCACTTTTAGTTAAATTAGATAACAACTAATTTAATTGGTTTAACTATTTACTATTTGCAACAATAATTACTTGGGTAATTGGAATTAAGTAAACTGTGTTTTTAATTACTTGAGTAATTAGAAAGTAAATCCTTGTTTGTGGAAGTAATTAGTTAATTACAATCAAGTCCAAGTTGTTTTTAATTACTTGAGGAAAAATAATTACTTGAGTAATTGTTAACTTTTTGGTTAACTCTTCTGTTAAACTTGGAAACTTGGGACAGACCTCAACTCTTGCTTAACTAAAAAGTCTGTTCAAATTGCTGCGAAAGAGTATTTAAACTCTTTATAAAGTCGTCAGATAAGAAGTCACAGACTCGTAAAGCCTAAGTAAAGTCAAAAAAAAAACGTTTGAACAGCTCTCCAAATGTGAAGAACTTAGGAAATAAGTTTTTGTAGTCAATGAAAATGTTTACGAAACATGTTTAATTCAAGCAATTGCCATAAATAATATAAATTAATTGCTAAAAAACAGAAAAAGTTATCAAGTAATTAATTAAAGTTAGTTGTCAAAAGTAAACTCCATTAAATCAAAGCACTCGCAAGTAATTGAAATTCTCAGCAATATATTTTAAAATTATTAACTGTGCTTTAAATTCGATTCAATACATGTAATTCAAATGCATGTGTGTCTCTCAAGTTGTTGTAAAATTAAATAATTAAATGTAATGAGAGAGATGCTGAAGCAATTGCTATTGAATTAAATAATTAAAAGTAATTAGGCTTTAACAGCAATTATCCAATTAATTGTAATGCTGAACAGCTTAAAGTAATTGAGCTAAAAAAAAGTAATTGAAATGCTCAACTGTTTTTTTAATTACTCAAGTAATTAGGAAAAGTATTGAGCCTTAGGTAAATTAAGAGCTTATTTGTTTTCAATTACTCAAGTAATTACAAAAGTAATTATTTAAATGCTCAACTGTTTTACAATTACTCAACGAATGCCAACCTTTTAAATAATTTGTAATTAAGTAATTAAAGTAATTGTAAGCCCAAGTAAATGTAATTGAAAAAGTAATTAGTGAAACTTTTCACAATTGCACAAGTAATTAAAACAAATAAGTTAATGAAAGGCTGCACCGTTTATCCATTAGCTCAAGTAATTGAAAAAGTAATTGGCAAAACTTTTCACAATTACTCAAGTAATTAAAGCAATCGCAAACATAAGTCAATTATTTTATGAACAGTTGACGCAGTTACTCAAGTAATTGGAAAAAGTACTTATGCACGTAATTGAATCGCTTTAAATTGATAACTTTCCCATTAATCTATAACATTTGCATGCTTTTGTATTTGTTTTTTTGGCACCAACTCGAACGCAGTCACTGCAACAGCAATTGGAGTACTCGACAGCGGCACAGCAGCTGGTGCTGCCCGCCGGCAGCATTGTGAGCACCACAACGCGCGCTCTGGCGGTGCCCGTTTCGGAGGCGGCGCTGGTCCAGCTGCAGCGACGTCCCGTCTACATAAGCAATGCAACGATGAGCAGCTTGGCGGGCGCCACATATGTGCGCATGCCGGCCGCGGCTGTCATCAGCCGCAGTCCGATGACCGTGCTGAATGTGGTGCAGCAAACGGGCGGACCCACCGCACAGCTCATACTGCAGGCGGCCACGGCGGCGGCAGCGGCACAGGCGCCGCCACAGCCACAGTCAGCAGCAGCAGCAACAGCTGCAGCAGCCGCAGCGCCGTCGCCCAGCAACGAGCAGCAGCAGCAACAACTGGCGGCGCTAGCCCTGGCACAACAACAGCAACAACAGCAGCAGCAGCAGCAACAGCAGCAGCAGCAACATCATCAGTCCATCAAGCCAGCGCCTGCCACGAGCAGCGTGGCAACATCGACGACCAGCTACCAGTGCATGGAATGCGTGGAGAAGTTCGACTCAAAGGAACTCTTTGATATACATCGCAGCGGGCATGCCAACAATATGAAGTGCGCCATCTGCAATATGGTATTGAAATCGCTGAAAAACTATGAGAAACATTGCCTGCGCTGCAAGCCCTACGAGTGCCAGATATGTGGGCGTGTTGTGCGCTTTCGGCCAAACTTTATAAAGCATATGCGCGTGCATACGGGCCAGCAATCGGAAAGGCATAAATACAAATGCGAGGTGTGCCACAAGGAGTTCATGAGCTTTGAATACTTCAAAGTGCACAAGAAGATACACAACGAGAACGTGAATCTCACCTGCGAGATATGCGGCAAGGTGTTCAGTGCGCTTGCCTCGCTGCGCGGCCACTCCAAGCTGCATTCGGGCGTCAAGCTGCACAAGTGAGTGCTGCGATTGATAAATATGTATAAACTAATATGATACTAACAATTCTCTTTCCCCTTATTGCAGATGCGATGTGTGCGGCAAGGGCTTTGGTCAGCGCTATAATTTGAAAATACACGCGCGCACGCACACGGGCGATTTTCCGTTTGAGTGCAAGGTGTGCAAGAAGAAGCTGCATACGCAATCCTCGCTGCAGACGCACATGCAGGTGCATCTGCGGGATCAGCCCAAGGGCAGCGCCGCCGCCGCCATCAGCAGCAACAGCAACAGCGGCAACGCCGCTGCCGCTGCCGCCGCCGCCGCCGCCGCCGCTGCCAGCAGCAACACCAACAACACTAACAGCAACAGCAATGCTGTCGCAGCTGTGTCAGCAGCCAATGTCAAACTGGAACCGGATCTGGAACAACCCGGCACCAGTCTGCAACAGCAACAGCAGCAGCAGCAACAACATCCACAGCAGCAGCAACAACAGCAGCACGATATGGACATGGATGATCAGTCTGGCCTGAGCGATGAGGAGACTGAGAGTGCTGTCCATAATTTGACCAATAATCGTTTAACTACCGGCGAGGACTCCTCGAATGAGTCCTCATCGAATGCCTCGCTACAGCAGCCACACTCTTCCTCAGCCAGCTCAACGCACTCGCAACAGCAGCAGCAACTGCCGCAGCCGCATCAGCAGCAGCAACAGCAGCAACAGCAGCAGCAATATATTGTGTCCACGCCCACACGCACCATTGTCATCAAGAACTACGTGCAACAGCAGCAACAGCAGCAGCAGCAATCGTCAGAGCAGCCAACTGGCAATGGCAACTGTTCGAGCGTGCTGCACACACAGGTCATACAGAGCGGTGCGGGCACCAGCAACGGCCATCACATCATCAACGCAAACAATGCCAGCAACAACAACAGCAGCAGCAGCCACACAAGCAACAGCAGCAACGGCACCAATCACAGCAACAACAGCAGCGGCAGCAGCAACAGCACCAGCAATGTTGCAACACAAGCCACGGCCAGCAATTTGGCGCAGCAACTGTTGCGCAAAACGCCCATCATACACTCGACAGGCACGCTTAGCTCTGCGCTGGCCAGCGTGGTGCAGCAGACGGGTGGTAAGTAACGAGTAGCGAGTAGCCAATAGCAGGGGCGTGTATGAAGTTGACACTAAAATTTAAAACTTGCATGAGAAAAATGTATGCAAGAGTAGCGAGTGACGAGTAGCAGGTAACGAGTAAAATACAGCGAGTAGCAAGCAGGAAACTAGAAATCCAAAAAGAAGTAGACATAAATAGTTTGATTTGAATGAGAAAGTCACTTGCGAGTGGCGAGTAGAAAGTAACGAGTGGCGAGTAGAAAGTAACGAGTAGCAAGAGGGAAATGTGATAGAACAGATGAATAATATACAAAACTTGATTAATACATGGTTTGATATGAATGAAACAAAAAGCGACGAGTAACAAATAGCGAGTCAAGTCAACAAGAGTATTAATATATTATGAGCACAATTTAATGTACGTAACGTTGAAAATATCTGGATAAGTCAGATGCTTAGCATGTTTTCTTTTCATTTTTTTTTTAATATAAAATGTGCGAAAATGTTTTTTTATTAAACATTTTGTTTATCTGCCGAAAAAACATAAATTTAAGGATTTGCCTTCTAGGCCTTGAGATCTGAAATGTTTTATGCAAAAAGATTCTGAGATCTGAAATGGTTTTTACCAAAGATCCTGAGATCGAGCATGCTTTATATATATATATATATATATATATATATATATATATATATGTTGCTGAACTAAATCATTATTTGATTGGTTTTTTCTCTTTTTCTTCTAGTTGGTTCGCCGGCGCAATCGCCATCATCTTCATCCACATCGTGTTCCTCCACCGTGCTGGTGTCCAAGGCGACGGGTGTGCCGTTGTCGATTGCCTCATCGGCGGCGCTGGGCGGCTCCACAATAATACGCAGCACGCGCAATCATCATCATCATCAGCAGCAGCAACAGCAGCAACAGCAACAGCAGCAGCAGCAGAGCAACTGCAGCAGTCTGCGAGTTGTGACTGGACAGCAGCAACAGCAACAGCAGCAGCAGCAGCGTAATAACCACCGAAACCACCACCGACGTCGTCATCTGGCGGACATGGATGACGATGATGATGATGACGATAATGATGAGGATGAGACGAGCGCACAATTGCGCTCTGCCACCAATGGACATCATCATCATCATCATCAGCCGCAGCAGCAGCAGCAGCAGCAGTCGCAGCAGCCGCAGCACCTGAATCAAAATCATAATCATGGCCATGGCCAGAATCACAGCCACAACCACAACCACAACCATCATCATCATCATCATCATCACAATCATTTCGATGATGATGATGATGATGAGAAATCATCACCGTCCCTGGCAACAGCTGCCATTATCAAAGTGGAACCGAATCTCTATTCATCCGGTTCCGGCGATAATTCCAACGACATGTTCATCAAGGAGGAGGTCATGTTCGAAGATTCAGCCGCACCACATTCACCACAATCGCCGCCCAGCTCCAAATTTCGCATCTCGAACTTCGACAGCGATCTGGTTGATCATCATGTCGATCTGAATCATTCGCTGCCGCCATATGGTAACCTATTTGAGCCGCACTCAATACCCGACAGCATACCCGTACAGCTCTATCCGGATGATGATGATGATTTTCGTTTGGATCACAGCTCGCTGGGTGGTCTGCACAATACCTCGTCCTCGACCACCGATGGCGACTTCATCAAAAAGGAATGGGTATATGGCAGCGGCACCAGCAGCTATGCCATGAATGGTAAATTTGATGATGACAGCGATGCCCTCTGCGATGCCGCCAATTTTATATACAATTGAGTCGAGCATCTCCACATGTCTACGCTGACCCAGGGGGCAGGCCAACAAACGGGAGCAGCAGCAGCAGCACCTGCAGCAGGCGAAGCACCTGCAGCAACAAATTCGAATTCTTAACGCACACACACACACACACACACACATATATACACACACATGCAGCACAAGTTCGTGTGCATACATATATATATATATATATATATATATATATATATAAACCAGCCCCCATGTATCCTTAATATATATATATATCTATAGATATATATGTATGTGTTTAGAGAGAGATTATGTTTTTTTTTCCTTGTATACACATGTATATTTATATATATACACGTATCTAATATATATATCTATATATATATATATGTATATGTATAGTAATTTGCTATCTCTGTCGCGCTCGTGATCTTAACGTGATCTTAAACTAAATCAATGTGTAAAACGTATTTGTAACTGTATTTTGTAGTTGTTTCTATATAATTCAAAAAAAAAAAAAGGCAAAAAAAGAAAACCAACAAAAACAAAAAAGTATGAAAGCAACTGCTCTGCTAGGATGTATGAGAATGTTGCCAGCTGTCTCTTTCACACACACACACACACACACACACAATACCATACCTATAGTGTCTGTCTTTCTCTCTCTGTCTCTCTCTCTCTATCTCTCTCTCTGTCTGTCTCTGTCTCTGTGTGTCTTTGTCCATATCGTAAGCAACAAATTGTGTTGAACTTTTCTTAGTTTTAGCCTACTTGTATTTTGTTTAAACTAATTGTCGCTAAATGCCTTAGCCCCCTCTCTTTCACTCTCTTTGCGTGTCCATTTGCTTGTGCGCTCTCTTTCCTTAACCTGTACGCCTTTCAGTTTTGTTAGCTTTGATCTCGCTTACAGTTGATTTTTGATTTTTGTTAACTATCAACCTTTATCTCACACTCAACCTATTGACCCCCAAACCAGGCGTGCCAAATGTTTGCCCTTTCGTTTTTCTTTTTTTTTTCTGTTTCAGTATTCGTTTTTCGGTCCCGAAACCAAATTTTGTTGAATTAAGATTTCTAAACTTAGGCAAGAGAACATCAGGAAATGCGTTCCAAAAAGAAAGAAAAAAACAAATTCTCAAATTTATAAATATATTTTTTGTCAGTATTTTTTGTTTAAATACTTTGCGCTAGCCAACCTCAACTTCTCTCCCTCTCTCTCTCTCTCTCTCTCTCTATATATATATATATATATATATATATATATTATATTTAGTTTATAATTTTTTCTTCTTCCCACCCGATCTTATGTGCAATTCTCTCACAACATGCCCAAAATGCCACGCCCCCCCAAACTAACTTTGAAATTTTTCTAAAACAAAAAAAAAATGATATATATATATATATATTTAACAATTCGTATTATGATCTTGAACAAGAAGAAGAGTTCGAGAACTCTAGCAAGTTTTTGTGCTTTAAAACTTAAAATTGAAATTATTGTGGTTTCCTTAATTAGCTGCTAAGTTTTAATTTTAATTGATTTCGCATTAACACACACACACACACACACACCTACACACATACAAATACATATATACACACATATTTATATGCTACTTATATATGTCTAATATAATATATATATAGAGCGAGTTATATTTAAGCGCCTATTTTTTTCATAGTCATAAGCTCGAGAGCATGCTTTATATACACACACACACACACGCACACACACACATATATATATATATATATATATATATATATATATATAAAATTTATATATATATACATACATATAGCTTATATAATATTTATAGCTACGTTCTTGATCTTAACATATATAATACCTACAATATATATATATATATATATACATATATATATATATATATATATATATATATATATATATATATATATATATATATATATATATATGTATATATATATAGAAATATATACAAATTGATTTTCTTTGCATTTAATGAAATTTTTATTTGTTTTGCTTAATAACACGTTATTTTTTTTTTATTTTTTCTAATTCCTCTGTGTTTTTGCTGATTTATTTCCGTTTTGTTTTGGAAGCATGTACATTTTACTCCCAAAAAGAAATTGAAATATATATATAAAAAAAAAAAATGGAAAAAACGGCGTAGTATATATTCAAAAAAAAAAAAGTATGCTACACATATACCATATACTACATATGTATATATACATGGCTAGTAACGTTTACGAAACAGCGTAGAAACGCGCAAGAACGTTAAAAAAAAAAACAAAAAAAAACAGAAGGAAAGAATGAAAGTTGACAAGTTTTTAGCGCAAATTGAAACTAACAAATTTATTCACAGCATTTAATGTTAACAAATATCAAAACAAAACAAAAAACAATACAAAAACAAAAAAAATAGTTGTAAAACAAAGCAGAAGCATAATTAATTATCTCAATGTTCGTTTTTCAATTGGACGCAATCTTTAATTTACGCAAAAACAAACGTTTTTTTTTTTTTTTAGGGACCTGCCTGAAAGAAGAATATAAAAAAATCAAATAAAATTATATAAATATCTATATATAAAGCAATTATTATATAATTATTACGTAGCTGCAAAATTAGGCTAATAGTTAACAAAGCTAACACACACACACGCACACGCACACACACACACACATGAAATGTTTCTTTTTCGTTTTCGCTTTGTTGCGTCATCCTTAAACGTTTTGTTGATGTCGCGCTGCGTCGCAAACAATCGTTAAGCATAATCATGTTTGTTGTTGCCCAACTTTTGTTTGTTATGCCTAACGTTAATGTTTATTATTGCATTTGAGCAATATCTACACACCACACACACACACACACACACACACACACACACACACACACACAGCTGCAAGCACTTATATATATCAATGTATATATATATATACCTTATTATTTCTTAAATCGCATTTTTTTGGCTGGCTTTTTGTTTGCGCTTTGCTGGCTTTTTGTGGCATCCAAAAGCCAGGCTCGTGCTGTGGCATTCAGTTCACACACACACACACCGTCACACACACACACCCTCACACACACACACCCTCACACACACACACACACACACACTCTTTTAAAAGTCTTCCGCACCGACTTTAGTTGTTTTTTTTTTAGACGATTTGTTAGAGTATATATACGTCTGCCAGTTGAAACACGCATATTTAATAGTTGTTTAATAACGAACAGAAAAAAAGTGAAACATTTAGTTTATAAGCGAGATTAACATTAACATTAAACCCAGCACGAACGTGCCAGCTTCGGTATACCGATGCTCTGAATACCCTTGCAGTCATATTCAATAGATCCCAACTGGAGTTTGGCAAACACCTAAAAGCTTAACAAGTTGTTCATGCAAAGAATTTACGAAATTTCCATCATTTTGTTCGAAAAATAGCTAAATGTTATAGTAAAGCAAGAAAGCTAAATGATATGGTTAAGAGTAAAAGATAAATGACACGATAAAGAGTAAAAAGCTAACTGCTATGGTAACGAAATAAAGCTAAATGATATGATAAAGCGTATAAAGCCAAAAAAGCCAAATGTAAAGCAAGAAAGCTAACTGCTATGGTAAAGAAAAAAAGCTAAATGATATGGTCAAGAAATAAAGCCAAATGCTGTGGTAACGAAATAAAGCTAAATGCTATGGTAAAGAGTAAAAAGCTAAATGATATAGTAAAGCAAAAAAGCTAAATGATATAAAGCGTACAAAGCTCAATGATATGATAGAGTTAAAAGCTAAATGACATGGTAAAGCGTATAAAGCTAACTGCTTTGGTATCGAAATAAAGCTAAATGCTATGGTAAAGAAATAAAGCTAAATGCTATGCTATAGAAATAAAGCTCAATGCTATGCTAAAGAGAACAAGTTAAAGGACATAGCAAAGCGATCAAGCTAAATCATTCGATAAAACGTTTAAAGCTGAAAGCTAGAAGAAAGCGATAAAGCTAAATGTTATAGTAAATCGTTTTGTTCGACTATTGGCGGTAAAATGGACAATAAGCGTGATAATGTAGGCCTATAATAATGTCCCATAAATACCGGTAAATACAAATACTTGCCACAAAGTTGGCCAAAAACGGCAAAAAGATTTGGCTAGCTCGAAGAGCCGATTCACAAAAAACCTTTATTCCGAATTTGTTTATGAGTTATATATTATTTGTTAAGGTCTTGAAAAAGACTCGAATTGCTAAACTGAACCGATTTGTATAGTTCGGGGTTCGATTTCCAGTCCGGGGAGAATCCTTTATAATCATAGAAGAAATATCTGGAATATTGACTGCAAAGGTATACGAAAAGCATCCATCAAAACTCAAAGAAATTACAAGAATTCGAATAAAGAGAAAAGCACTGCCCCAACAAGAGAGAGAGAGAGCGAGAGAGAGCGAGAGAGAGTGAGAGAGAGCGAGAGAGAGAGAGAGAGAGAGTGGCAGAACCCCGGCACAGACAACCAAAATAAACAATTTCCTTTTTTCAAATTGTACACAAACAAACAAAAAAAAGAAGAAAATAAATTCAGAGAAGAAAAAAAAATTTATTTTGTATATGGAAAATCTATTTTATATACTGAGACTAGAAGAAGAAGCAGCTGCCAGCGGTGCAACAACAACAAAGAAAATATATAGATATATAAAACAAAACTAAAGCTGTATCTCGCCCCACTGTACACACACGCACACACACACACACACACACACAGAGAAGAACCCGCCCGCAACAGCCCACAAAAGCCAGACTTTGGGCAAGCCGAACAAGTGGAAGAAGAAGATGAGTCAAAACGCCAACACCCCAAAACACAAACAAAAAGAAGAATTAAACAACAACAACAACAACAAAAAACTCAACGACTGCGCACACAAAACGTGAACAAATTTTTTTGTATTAAAAAAAGAAGAAAAAAAAACAAAAATTCTCTTAAGTAAAAAAAAAAACTTAACCTTAAAACAAAGCGAACCGAAAAGGAAGCGAAGAACTATTTTTTAAGTGTAAACCAAGCCTCAAAATTAAAAAAAATAAATAAATAAATATTAACAAATCAAGGCTTGGATGCCAAATTTTTCAGTAATAAATTAAAAAAATTAAAAAAAAAAAAAGTCAAGCGTAACAAGAAATTTTTAGGCATATATACATATATGTACAAATACACGCACACACAC